GCAAGCATTAAAAAATTTTAAAAGAAAGGACTTTTTATGTATGTAATGTGATGAAACAAAGTTCTTTTAACTTTGTTAAAACTGGTTCTTTTAACTCGAAAGTCATAGTTCCTGAAACTGTCAAAATGTAGGCATTACCTGCTACAAATTTATGGTTTCTACCTCCTCATCCAAACTTCTCCAAATCAGTCTCCACTCATTCACTCACTATCTCTACACTTCTTTTGTTTTAATGTTTATTGATTTAGTTGAGACAGACAGACAGAGAGATAGAGGAAGGGCAGAGAGAGGGAGAGAGAATCCCAAATAGGATCCACACTCAGCATGAAGCCTGATGCGGGGCTCGATCTCCCAACTGTGAGATCGTGACCTGAGCTGAAATCAAGAGTCAGATGCTTAAATGACTGAGCTGCCCAGGCGCCTCTGCCTCTTCTCTTCTACCTCCAAGCGGCATGAAACCTGCTCCTTTCCTCTTTCATCAGAATACCCCTCCCTCCTGGTTTTCTTCACGCTTACTGGCATTCCTTCTCAGTCTTGTTCACCGGCCTCCCTGCTTTCTTCACTGACCCTTAAACATCCTTTAACTTTGGGCAAAGTCCCCAAGGAGCCGACGCCCATTCACAGGGTGTCACTTCTACCTCTATGACAATGACTCCCCTATCTGTACCTCCAGCCCAGTTCCCACTTGACTGCCATTTACGGGGGCTCCACACCACATCTGCCCACATCTCCACCAAACTGACCCACAGCAACTTCAAAGTCACAGTTTGTCTTAAACTGGAGTTCTATTCATCTGTCCTTTCTCCCATACTCTATATTTTGGCAAACAGAAATCCTCATCTCTTGCCAAAGTTAAAATACAGAAAAACCGTCCCCAGCTCTTCCTTCTCCCTTGCTCAGCACACTCAAATAGTCCCCAAGTTCTACTCCATATTCTCCCTTAGGAACTCTCAAATCCAACCCTTTTGTCCAGTTCCCATACCCTCGCCTTAGTTAGACCTTCATCATTCCTCACCGGCTCACCTCCTTGTTTTTCAACTCACCCCATTTTACCTCCTACAGTGGCAAGACAGTGATCTTCCCAATACAAAAATTAGATTACATCTTTTCATTGATATAAATGCCTTTAATGACTCATCATCTCCCACAGGATAAAATCCCTCTTCCTTGGAATAACCATCTCAGTCCTCTAATACATTTCCTTTGTTCTCTTATGACACCCTGTGTTTCCATAATTTCAGAGCACTTGTGGTTCCCAGTACTCTACATTACCTCATTCGTTTTGCCTTTCGCATCTAGTGCTCCCCACGCTTATACAGTTTTCCCTCCCAGCACCTCTCCCTTCCCTTGCTTGCTTATTAATGCGCTCATTATTCAAAACCCAGATAAAGCATGAAATCCACTGGAAAGCCTTCCTAATACTTCCAATCCAATCTGTATTAGATAACCCTCTTATAGCATTCCTTTATTAATGTAATTATCACATACAATTATGGTCATTTTTCTACTTACCTGCCTTTCCTCTCCATTGTAAAACAGTCAACACAACCTTAGAATTTAATTAAAAACATAAGAAGGCCTGTTTTCTGCCTTATAATTGGGACTGTAAATTTGTAAAGCCTTCTGGGAAGACAATTTGGCAACAGCTATCAACATGCTAACCCAGTAATTCTACTTCTAAGAATCTCTTCCCACAGAGATATCCAAATATGTGCACAAAGATACATATATTATAAAATGTTCATAGTAGCACTGTTTGAAATGGCAAAAAAAAAAATTGAAATAATCTTTGAGTGAGTATATCATATCATTGAATACCATTCAGATATTTAAAAATACAGATTTAGGGGCACCTGGGTGGCTCAGTCGGTTAGGCGTCCGACTTCGGCTCAAATCATGGTCTCACGGCTCGTGGGTTCAAGCCCCGCGTGGGACTCTGTGC